GATAATTCTACTGTAGTTTCTCAGATGTCATCATTCATGGATCAATCATCTATTGAGTATTCCGGAAATCAGGTAGAATTTGTCCTTAATCTTTCCTCTTCTCTGCTCTGTCATACAAATAATAATTAAGTAATTTGTTTGAGACTGTGTTCTTTTTCGAAAGAGAAGTTTCCAGTTAATGTTTGAAAAAGATAATTCTACTGTAGTTTCTCAGATGTCATCATTCAGAGATCAATCGTCTATTGAGTATTCCGGAAATCAGGTAGAATTTGTCCCTAATCTTTCCTCTTATCTGCTCTGTCATACAAATAATAATTAAGTAATTTGCTTGCGACATTGTTCTTTTTCGAAAGAGAAGTTTCCAGTTAATGTCTAAACTAAATAACCATCTATGTGCTAATAATTTATAAACTAACAAACATAATAATACATTCCTCAAGCAGGTTTACTATTGTTTTGAAAGCTCAATTTAGTCTTTTGACATGCTTCAGGCTCGCGAATTCTTTAAAGCTGTTGAAAGAGAAAATGAAGTTCGCACAGAATACTCCCAGGGTTCTGACATATTTCACTCACTTGAAGACCTGAAACTAGGGAGTAAAGGAAATCTGGAAGAGCTTAATCCGGGTCGTAGGGTACAGCTAACTTTAGGTGAACCTGGATTATCCCGTTTCTCTTACAAAGCTGTACTCCTTGATGCTCAGAAAGATTCTGGACCTTTCACGTATCATTGTGGAGTTTTCCTTGTCCCAAAGGTTGTGTTTTCTTGGTGCATATACAATTTATGTACAACTAGAGGATTATTCAGTTTTTGAGTTGAAGTTAAGCAATTACTATGCAGAGTGGGGGTAGGTTCACTTCTTATCTCTGTTTCACCTGGATTAGAAACGAGTCATTCTCCTCCAGCGCGCAGACTTATAAATCATGTCCTTTTTGTATATTAGTTTGCCTATCTTTTTCTTATGCAAAAAGTTTGTTTTACCTTTTAAATACCTCAAATAATTTTGTAGTGGAGACATGCAAGTGCTAGGTACAATATTTGACGTTTTTGTGGTTAGAAAGATTGATGGTGACCGCATTTTAAGCCTGCTCTTCCACTTATATATTGTATCTTTTGTTATTTTCAATAAAACTGGTTTCTGACTAAAGTTTATATTTCAGACAAGAGCTCGTGAGTGGCTTTTTTCATCAGAAGAAGGTCAATGGCTAGTTGTTGAAAACTCAAAGGCTGCTCGTTTGGTGATGGTACTTCTTTTTGCTCTTTGATCACTTCAATGTATATCGATACCTTTGTCGTCTAGTTTGTTGTTTGTTCTGAAAAGTCTTAATACAATATTATCTTTTGACTTTAGATTTTGCTGGACTCCAGTAATTCTAATGGTTCAATGGATGATATCCAGGTGGTATTCTTGTTTTTTTTTTTTTTTTTTTTTTTTTTTTTTTTTTGGTATAAAAGCAGCGAGGGAGCTGACAGCAAAGGATGACAAAGCCCCAAGACCAACCAATGTATTCATGTTTGGAGCTCCTCTAACAAGACTTCTCAGGCCATCAACAAGCAGTTGGCGACCAGGGCCAAGCAATGTAAATAGACACAAAGACAAATGAAATCCTGTGGAATGCAATGCATGGATCCATGGTGCCTTGGTTCCAAAGAAGTAAGTGAGATGGCCAAAGATGCATACAGCACATAAAGCCCAAGAAACAGCTAGCCCACGACCTGTTGAATCGACAAGTTTTCAATCATGGCATATTGGCCTCAAACGCACGAACTAGAAATAAATTCTAATCACAAATATTGCAACTCTCAAATATTTGAACTTTTACAGACTAGATCTAGAAAAATTAACAGAAAAATACTGTTTTCTTAATTAGGCTAATAATTCTTTCATACTTTTGAGTAGTTTAAATATGAAATAAAGTCAACTCCAAACAACCATATCGTCAAATTCCTATCAATTGTCATTTAAGACATGTCAGGATTTCTATAAAAAAAAATGTCATTAACATAGACTTTTATAGTCAATAATGTAGGGGCAAGAAAGGAGTCTACCACTCTTTCTTAACAGAGCATGCTTTTCATTTATCTTCTTCTCAAACGTCTCATAGATGTTCACCCTTCTTGAATCTGCAAACAAGGACAATAAGTCATGCTTACTAAGATCATAAGACACACAAGTAAGCATTGAAATCTACTTGAAATCTTTCAAAAAAAGCTATCTTTTGCAGTTTATCTCTTCATATTGATCTAGTGGATTTTTGTTTTCAGCCTTGTTAAAATTAACGCAGATGAATCATGATAAGTTCAATGAATAGATAATATACATCTTGTATTGATTACTATATTCTAGAGAATTCAGAAGTAGACACTGTTTATGTTGCAATGTGAATGTAGCAGGAACAAGTGTAATTGTCCATTTATAAATATAAATGAATTCAGAATTTCAACATACTGTACATCCAACGTGATACAAGGTTTAGAAAGAGGAGTGGTATGAAGTAAATCAAATGTTTCATCTTGGTGAAGGAAATACAGAAACTTAGGGTGCGTTTGGTTTGCTATTTTCAAGCCATTTTCAGTTTTCAATTTTGCAAAACACTGAAAACGTGTTTGGTTTGGTATTTGAAAATACATTTTCGAAAACAAGGATAATTTATAAAATAAAATGCATTTTTGAAGTTTTAAGTGTTTTCTGTGAAAATTCTGAAAATACTCAAAAAAAAAAAACATTTAAATAAAATTTTAACAAATAAAATTATAAAAATCTAAAATTCAAGAAAGTAAGTTCAAAAAATAAAATTGATAAATTCTTAAAAAATAAAATCTAAAATATTAAAAAAATAAAATTCTAAAAAACTAAAATTAAAATTCAAAAAATATATATAAAAAATTCTAGAAAAATAAAAAAATTAACTAGTAAAAATATTTAAATGAACACGGACAAAAATATATTAATCCACGTCATTAATTTTTACTTTCAATTTTTATAGTAAAAAATTAATTGATTATTTTTTTAAAATTTTTTAAAGAAGAAATATTATAAGATTCGCCAACATTAAAATACATATAATACTTGATAATATACTAAAACAAATTTATTCTATTGTTACTAGATAAATAAAATGTCATAAAACAATTTTTCAAAATTTCAAACCTCGCGTGTTTTCTTATTTTTAGTTTTGAGAGAGAATTTTTCAACATGACAAACCAACGCGTTTTTAAAAATCTTAAAACAGATCGTCAGAAACAAATATTGTTAGCTAAGCTTGTTGTGTATCACATACATTACAAATTAATTAGAGATTGGCAGATTAATGAACCTCAGATATTCTTTATGTTTCAAAATAGAAGAATCGACATGGGAAGTTTCATCTAGAGAAGGTTGAAATTAGACAGCTGGAGGAAATACCATCTGCCATTTCTCGACAGCTAATATATTAATCCTTACAGAGAATGCAACCCCACAATAACTCGTTCCTAATAATGAACTTCCTCAACCCATATAAAAGTAAACTATTAAATTGCATGGGGTTTCTGGTGATAGATGTACCTGCCTTCAACAAAATCCACCTCTAGTGGCCAAGGAGACACCTATTTATGGAGAAGTGTTTCATTAGCTATGATTTTAACAAGGTTTTTTTTTTTTTTTTTTTTTTTTTTAAAAAATAGGTGAAAGCAATTGTTATTGGTCTTGGAGCAGGATTACTTCCCAAGTTTCTTCATAAGTGCCTACCTTTTCTGGAGATTGAGGTAAAATTATATTTTTCATTTGGTTGTATCTAAAATGTTTAAAAATCTTGATTCAAAGGCGTAAGTTTCAACTGATTGAGGTTTACGCCTCACTTGCACACGCCTCTAAGGGTTAATGGTGTGCTTTTGTTGACTTAAGTCTTTCAAGCTCTTTGTAGCCTAGGTTCTTAATTGTTCCCCAGAAGACGGCACCTTTGAAAATATTGAGGACTCGAGAATTCAAATCAGAAAATATCTAGTACAATAATATAATACTTAAAAGAAAGAAGAGCATGCTCTGTGTCAAAAACTTTGTAATTTAAAACAAGTCTTTACAAGCCTCAATTGTCTCCAAACTAGTAATCTCTAACATTGTTTACTTGGACCTCTCATGGGATGATTTACTAATGAGCCTTCATAGCCTTATATAGCCTATGTTTGGTGGGGATTAAAATTTAGATTTTAACATAAGTCAAAGTCAATAATTAATTATAATCACGCATTTCATGGGGTCCATAACTTTTCAACCACAAATTTCAACAACTTTTATTAAAATTTACTAAAAATATGATTTTAGTCCCCACCAAACATAGGCATAACTACATCTCTCATTTGAACGGACAATGAGGATTCGTCCTATTGATAGACCAAGATTAGCCATTTAGAATTGTATACGACAAAGTAATAATTTAGCAACATTTTGTCATATTCTACAAGTTTCTTACATTATTATTGATAATTCTAAACTTCTCTTTACAATGCTGCAGCAAGTCCTCTTTAACGGAAGGCTTTAGAATTCGTTTCCTCACAATGTTCCATAGACTTCTAGTCTTCCATGAACCTCTCTTTCAAGTCCATCTAAAAATGTAGACAAGATGTAGTGTTTTAAAACCTCTTTCTATGATTTTCGCTGTTTTAAAACCTATTTTTTAAAGGTCAAATCTGCAAAAGCTAGGCACTAATAATTTAAAAGCTATTTTTTATTTGTTAAACCCCACAAAAGCTAGCCCTCACTGAATTTAAAACTAGTTTGGTTAAGGTTAATTTTAAATGGTCGAATTCATTACGGTTGTAATAAATCAATATCAATCTAAACTATAAGTAGATATAAATTAAAAACAAAACTCAAGCAAAACTTATTTTGAGATAAAGAACCACTAACTTAAATTATGTTGAAAAATAACATTAGTTACATTATTTTAAATAAATTTTATTCAATCTGACTATAAACGCAATAGACATAGATTAGCTGACACTAGTTTTGATTTCTTCGGTGTTTGTTTGCAAGTCAACTTTAAATTGCTGTGTTGTGAATTTTCAGAATTGTTTGTGGTGCATTACTAGTTTGGTTTTGTATCATTTTTTTTTTTTTTTTTTTGGGACTTATTTTATTGACTATTTGGTGAGGCTTGCACCTCAAAATGCTTTGAGGCTTAGGCCTCACTTCACTACCTAATTTAGACTTGTTAAACATTGTTATTAAAGTTTTAACTCGCTTGTCTCTTACTTATGATGTACCGACACGACACATTTCGTTATATGTTGACTCGCGATTTTTCAAAAAAGTACTGGTATGACACATTAATTAAATTCTTTAAAATTCTTCTTTTATATAGCGTAAATTTAATTTTTATACTTGTGATTATTTATTTTTTTGAAATATTTTAAATATGAGTATCTATTTTTGTCATTTCATAATAACTTCAAGTTAAAAAAATACAATGTTTATGATAAAGAAAGAAAAATGAGTATGGTAAGAGTGTTAGATTCCAACACACATATACATGGACACTCTATCCTAGCTGAAATGTCCGTGCAGCAGAGTCTCTTACCATCTTAATTCTCAATTTTCAGGTGGTTGAGTTAGATCCCGTGGTTCTGGATGTTGCAAGAGACTATTTTAGCTTTGAAGAAGATAAACATTTGAAGGTAATATGTTAGTATTTTTTCATTCCCCTTTGTCATGCAATCTTTTTGCTTTTACAAAATCCATCATGGTCAAACTTGAATCACTTCCAATTTCTCTTCTATATCTGTCCTTTCCTGTTTGGTAATTGATGTAATTGCTGCAAATTAAGCAGAAAAATCAGCTCAGGAAGCTAAGTAGCATACTCATCAATTCATGACCCAAATGAAATGAACATGTTATTTTCTGGAGAAATAGTACATATGTTGAGAATGCTCTAATTAGTGCAAATACATTTGCTGAATGTCTAATCTTCTTTTATAACATGTATGCATAGATTTTCTCCATCTTTCTTTAAAAGTGTGTTTATACATCTACAGTGTTGAATTTAAACCACATTACTTATTCCAATGCTTTTTCTTGAAAAGTATGTATTTATACATCGACAGCGTAGAATTTGAACCGCATCAATTACTTGTTCCAATGCTCTTTCTTGAAATGTATGTATACTTGTACCAATGCAATTGGTATTCTACTCATGAACATGTTAAATTTTTTTTTTAGGTACATATCACTGATGGGATTAAGTTTGTTAGGGAGATTGCAAATTTTGAGGCTGGTGATGTATCAACTCCAAATTGTAGTGATAAGAATGACACGGTTAATGGAAGTTTCTCTAGTGGAACTAGCACCGAAGTTCATGCAGATGGAAGGAGCTCTAACAAAATTGACATACTTATTATTGATGTAGACTCTTCAGACTTGAGGTAAATGTAACTCTACTCAATATGCTATTTGTAACTTCAGCTATATATTTTACTGTTCATTTAAGCTTGAATGTATCTTGAGGTAAATGTAACTCTACTCAAAATACTATTTGTAACTTCAGCTACATATTTTACTGTTCATTTAAGTTTGAATGTTTTTGATTGATCCCCTTCTTGTGCAGCTCTGGTTTAACATGTCCTGCTTCAGACTTCGTTGAAGATTCTTTCCTTTTGACCGTCAAAAGTTCACTCTCTGAGCAAGGTCTATTTGTCATTAATTTAGTCTCCAGGTCCTCGGCTGTTAAGGATAAAGTTTTTTCAAGATTACGAACGGTGAGAACTGGAGTTAGGATTATTTCCCCAACAAGGATATATACCAGTGTGTGCTTATGGTTTTGTTGCCTGGACTGTTTTGACTATGCTTTAAAAGTTCCGTACAAGTAAATAAGTTAGTTTTAACATAAAATAATTTTTGTTATCAGTCCAAGTTGAAAACGAGTGAGTTACTTATTTTGATGGCAAGATAAGAGCTACTTCCATAATAAGTTACTATCTTTTATTATTTAACAATAAAAAATTTCACATGTGCAAACATGTTTGGAAACAAAATTTGTTTAAAACTAACATTTACATTTTTTTGAGCTTAGCCAAGCATGCTCTAAATTGTTTCTTTTCAGCCCAATACAGCATGAATATTCAGCTCTAGATACACTTGAGTTAGGAAGACTCTGGGTGCCGGTTTTTCTTTGGTATACACCTAATTTAGCTCATGATTTCACAGTATGTTACCCTTAAAGTGAGATCTCGGATGATACAGTATATGGGTTTTAATCAAACATAACGATGACTATTTAATCCTTCTGCTCTTTAGATCTTTCATTGTTTTGCCAAAATGCTATTACCTCTTTTATGTGATTCAATATGTGTTGTTTTCATGAATATTTTCCAGGTATTTAGCAACATTTTCTCCCTTCAGCTTGAGGAAGACCTGAATGAAGTTATATTTGCACTCAAGGACTCTCCCGTTGAAGAAAATCAATTTTCTGAAGCTTGTGATGCACTTGCAAGATTATTAGAGCTCGAAAATCCTGAGTGGAGTCAAAGCATCATTGATGGCACAAAATTGATCAAAAGTCTGAGATGACAAGTATTCTTATTGAATCAAACATGCGTACCCCTTGGCATTTATTGCTCAAAGTCTTCGTAGGACTTGTGGGAGAGAATGAGAAGCTCATTGCCAATGTAGCTATGCATGGGGTATATTGTTCTACATAATTTTTCATCCATAAAGGTGTCTATACACACACATGGGTGGGATCCACTCAAATATTTTATTCGAGTGGATCTCACCTCATGTGAGAATATGGACACCTTTATTGATAAAAAAATTATGTACAACTAGATTTATCCGAGTATATTTGTGCTGTTTGGTTTTATTATTACTTTCCCTAGTTTGTTTGGTAAGGTGGATTGTATTCTAAAAAGTAAAAAAAGGCTGCATTTTGTCTATTGTACTTTTCGAGTCGAGTCTAATATTATATATCAAAAGTCTTTTTGGAGAACATTAAGGTCAAATATGAGTTGACCACACGTTTCCTTGTACCTTTTTTTTAAAATTTTGGGTATATAAATGCACTTCATATTTTACAGTCTTTTACACATAACAATGTGAAAGCTTGAACATCTTATCGTTTAACCTCATTTTTTAATATACACACACATTACCACCAAATATAGCTCTTGTTTGGTGAGAATTAAAATTAGATTTTTAAGTAGATTTTGATAAAAGTTTTGGAAATATGTGGTTGGAAAGTTGTCGGATTCGTAAAATATATGGTTAAAATTGTTTGTTTGACTTTGATTTAGATTTAAATTTAATTTAAATCAGTACCGAACAAGGTTATAATATGGTATGTTTCTCATCTTTTATTGGCCCTATGGACCATATATTATTTGAATAGACCCATGTTTACTCGTGATACATGGGATCTTAGATCTTCGTTTGAACTTTGAAGTCATCGTCTTTGACTTAGTTCTTATCAATTTGAAATTTTATACCACCTTTTTAGATATGGTGTTTTATGTTACAAAAATTATTATAACGTCATTGAAAGGGAAGGTGACATTTTCACATTTCACATTAATGATTCCAAGTGGTCATAAATATTTGAATAAAGTGATTTTAGTCATGCTTAAAAATAGAGAGCGAAGAAACAAATTGATGTATTAGAAAATGATCGGGTGTTTTAGTTTTAATTTTTCAAACCGTTCAATCATGCGTCACCACGAGTCTCATCTGAATTTGAACCTGAATGTATAGTATGATTGTAACTAAATACTTCTGAGAATTTTTGCACAATTTTAACTTTCCCCTCTTTCTTCCTTTGTATTGTACCATGATATAACTTGGGTAGTATTGTAATTTCATTATCTCAAAGAGTATGTATGTCATTAATGAGTCATTAATTACCCAACAACGTCGACTCCACGGTCCCCACCAATCTCATTATTCATTATAATGATAAAAAATTAAATTCAATAATGTATAGATGTTCAGCACCATAATATTTATGTTTTATTTATGAGTAATGTTATTTAGTCTGACTGATTTTCCAGCTAGGTCAATGTGACATTAAATTATATGTGGAATTAGATAACTAAGATAAGTAATTTAATTTCACTTTTCATTCAGTCTACATCTAAATTGAAATTTTAATCTTAGTGGAACTAAAAAGCATTACTCTTTATTCATTTGCATATTGTTTTATAGTATCTCATTTAATTTATCAAATGTATCATTAATATATTGAATATAATTAAACATAGTGAAGTAAGACACTTATAGAAACACTTAGAAAAAAATTCATAATGCCATTAATATTTTGCAATAGTGATTTTTTTGAGAATGCGTAAATAAGTAGGAAAAAATCTTGAATTTACGTATAAAATTATTTTATTGAATAAAAAATGTGTAATTGAAAATGAGTGAAAAAATTATTTTTATATAATGGGATCAAACAGATGCTGATTAAACTTTAGCATAGCTTAGCTCTCATTCGGTGTGTTAATAATTTTAATAAATTTCTTCAACTACACCGACAAAGTAATTTTCAGACCACCTCAGCATGTTGGTTATTAGGTACATTAGTTGGTCCGACACAGCACATTAAGAAAGAAAGAAATTATCCTAAGTACAGTGACTGCTAACTGTCAACAGCACGTGCACTCACTCACCTGAATATATGTCTTAGGCTGTAAGAAGAAAGATAAATTCGGTTTCATTTTTTTGTGGGTTTGTGTTATTAGGGATTGAGCTTATTGGTTCTGCTTATGATCTACTTTTCTTGAAGATTTTGAATCAATGGCAGTGAGTATTCATTTCCATATTTCTTGACCCTTTTTTTTTTTTTTTGTGTAAATAATCGACATTAATGTTCTCTGGTAAAAACACCTGTTGGTTGGTGCAATTAATGGGTTATTTTCTTTAGAATTGTTGTACTTGTACTGAAATGATCTGTTAATGGGTTTTTTTTGTTAATGAATAAATGCTGTTTGTATGTTAAAGAAAAATCAAAGCATATTTAGGGTTCTTGAATGGCCTCCATTCATAAAATCTATTTATGCAATTCAGCTCGTGGGGGAATATTGAATAAAAATTTAGGTTCCCCTTAGCGTTTTAACTATATACAGGAGGTGTATGGAAGAGTCTTCTCTACATAAATGCATTTTACTAAATTTATCTACTATCTGTATGGGTGGGATGCTGGAGCTTGGTGTAATATTTCTAAATGGAAATTTTGTGGGTTTCATTTAGATGATTGGATGAATCCCGAAAATTGCATCGTGAGTTGGAGTACGGGATTAGTTTTCTTAAGTAATCAATTTGAGCAGGATTTGGAAGCAAGAAAGTTTTATCACGAATATTTTTGCATATGACCTTGTTACTTGAACAGTTTTCTTTATACCTCCGTTGATAGATGCTGAGGTGGCATGCATTTTGGCCCTTGATTTGAATTTCATTTATTCAAATCTAAGGTCAAAATGCATTCTGTCAACAGAAATGTAAAACAATTTTTGTACAATAGCTTAATTGTTTTGCGTAAAGTATCTAGCTATTCGGGGGGGTTGTTTGAGTGCTAGCTAATGGCTAGGCTGAATAAAGAGATGGGCACAAGAAATTTTTAGTTGCTTGTCTTGGGAAGTTGAAAGTATTGAGACGATATAAGGAGTTTATTAATGTATTATGAAGTTAAGAGTTATTGGCAAGTTGGAGATATTCTCAAGAAGCATTTGCAACAATAGAAGAATTGGGGACGATCTCAAAAGTACCTTGTACTTGAAGATGCGTTGTGAAGAGATTTGAACTCGGTTTAAGATTTAGATGTTTATCTGAGGCGATCAATTCTTTAATCAAAGTTACATGATTGTAAACTTTTTTTTATGTGAACCACGATCAATCTGCTGGTACTTTGTTATTCTAAAATGCTCACCCGATAAATAGACATTTCGAACAAGCTAATCGACCAAAAAATCATGTTTCTTAATCCAAAAAGTGGTTAACTCCTTTTGCTTTCATGTACATGTTTCTTGATTTTTGTTTCTGATTCTAGCAGAAGCAGACGCAAGCACCAAAATTTGGTAACTGGGAAAGTGAAGAAGATGTCTACTACACTGCTTATTTTGATAATCCCAGGAAAGTTAGGAAAAGTAGCGAGGTGAATCAAAATGATTCTCATGAAAATCCCGAGATTGGATCTAAGGGTAAAAAGGTATCAGTTGTAGCATCGCCAAAACACAACTATCTTTCTAGACAAGTGAATGATGAAATGAGGAGATCAACCGATTCTCCGCTGCACCACCTTGATGTAATCAGTCGAAAACCTGCAATTGACTCATCTCACAAATTGCATGGTGGTGTCCAATTTGGAAGCCATAAATCAGAATCAGAAGCAATGAAGGCCCAAGAGATGCTTAGACCAAGGCAGCGTCGGTTAAGTAGAGAAGAAGTTGATATGAGGAGACTTCCTGATTCCCCACTGCGGTACGAGACTGCAGGACGGAGAGCTGCTTCTGAATTGCCACATCATCGCCATGGCGTCCTGACTGCGGGTGATACACCTAGACGAGTCCCTCGGCAGAGTGTAGGGTCTGATTGCAGCGTCGAACAATCACCATTGCACCCTCATTCCCAGGCACGTGTAGGAGGAAATGGAAGTCGAATTTCTTCTCCCTCTTGGGAAAGAAAGGCTACATCTGAAGGTAGCTACGGCCCAGCTCCCTTCACTCCTGGAAGATCTCGTCTGAGATCAGTCACACGAGGCGATGACACTGTAAATGTCTTTTTCCCTGTTATCTCATTATATACATCATGATACGAAGATTAACTTGATCTTACATTTGATTTGAACTTGTTAGAGAACAATAAATAGACGGGGGAGAAACTTTTGAGGTGCATGTTCGGTAGAAAGTATTAGAAAAGACTTTTGAGGTGCATGTTCGGTAGAAAGTATTAGACAAGACTGGACTCTATCAAGAACAAGATTTTAATTTTAATTTCTTTTTCTTTCATAGTGCTATTGTAAAGTTCTGTCCCGTATCCGCTAGAAGTATGATATTCTTTTGGATTACAGCCTGATCACAGCCTTGCTTTGCCGGTAGAAAGTATTAGACAAGACTGGACTCTATCAAGAACAAGATTTTAATTTTAATTTCTTTTTCTTTCATAGTGCTATTGTAAAGTTCTGTCCGGTATCCGCTAGAAGTATGATATTCTTTTGGATTACAGCCTGATCACAGCCTTGCTTTGCCCAAATTTGGTGATTGGGACGAGACTAATCCTGCATCAACCGAAGGATACAGTCAGATTTTTAACAGAGTGAGAGAAGAGAAACATAGCGATGCAGGAAATGTACCTGCCGCGCCTACTGAAACGTCTTACTCAAATGGTGAGAAGCAATATGGAAATGATAATCCAAAGGTAAAAGAAAGTTAATCTGTTAAAATTTCGATCTTTATCTGCAGTTCATATTCCACGTTGCTATCGAATAATTACTTTCGTCGTTTCTTTTGCTTAGGTATGTGGATGCTTTCCATGGGGCAAAAGATAGAATGTGGATGCGTGAGAGGCATTTGTTCTCATACGCCATAAAATCTGATCGTTTGTATAGATTAACATTTATTTAAGAGATTCGTTTACATGTTTTGGAATAAGAAACAACAATTTCTGTGGAATTTTTGGTTTGCCACCAATTCGCTTATTCTTTGTAGCATACGAGTTTAAGTTGTAAACTCTTCATTATTCATGTTGGTTATCCCCTGCTGTCAAGAAAACTATCCTACAAACTCAACCTCCTCTCAGGCGAAGTCTAAGCGCGCGAAGGTAACAAAAAGGGTAGCAAGAGAGAGCAAACTATTTCCTTTTATGGTGGCAAAATTCGTTATTTAAACATATGCGAGTAAAACCTGAAAAACGTGACTTCTAAATTAATGGATAAACACTATAATAGTATAATCAAAGAGAATGATGAAAGCTTCATTAGGATCAACCTTACTATAGTGACAAACTCAATGAGGAGACACGTGTCAATGCATGATTGGACGGTTTGAAACAAACTGACCTTAGCCAAGTATCATTATTCCATTAGGATACACCAACTTAACGACAACGTTGACTTGGTTCAATCGAGCCTATAATGTGCTAAGCATCATTCGTGTCCATCGCGAACAATCACAGAAATGAGAAAACTGATGCCGAGAAGTGTCAGTTTCAATTCATCACCAGTCAGTTTTGGATTGAAAAATGGGATTTTGAAAGCTTTGTAATCCTGTTAATAAGTGTTTGGAATATGTAGTTTGTGAACTGGGATTGGAATGAATTTGTAGAAATAACTACCATATTTTTGTATGCATTCCTCAGGAATATAATTGAAAACCCTGTTTCTAGTAGCACAACAAGAAAGACAGATTTTGAAAAAAAAAATTTATTTCATACAAAATAAATCCTTGAACAAATGCATACACCAAATTGCTAAGGGCAGGATTCTGAATATGATGCAATGCCTAATGGTCGCTGAGAACATCACATTAACAAACGCCCAACCCGCAATCCGATTATACAGTACAATGGTCAAGATCTTAACGAGTTTATTTTTTTAGTATCGTCTAATACGGTCCAATACACTATACAAAACATTCTATCCTGGCTCTATCATTTTTTCGGCTGTCATTTCATTAAGGCAGAGCCGATGTATGATGAAGACGAGCATCGAATTTCAACAGACAACGTCTTGACAACACGGTGACACGGGTCTCCACCAAATACAGCATTAGAAACTGCAATAGAACAACTGTTTCTTCCCTTACAAGCCTGTAGAAATGGAAAATGCTTTAATCATCTTAAGTAAACATTAGTTTACTACTTAAGGAACAACTTGGTTTAAAACTAGATATTAAGCCAACCAGGCATTTAGCCCAGTAACAAATTTATGCCTAGCAATTGCTATATAACTAATTCATCAAGCTGGTTCTTCATGGGAACTACAAATTTGTTATGTACTAAAATATGCCACGCATACCTCAGACACCACGGAAAATGAATTGGGTGCGTGGCAACTGCCTTTGGAGAACTTGCGGCAGCTTCCTCGGGGAGTCCCATAGCTTGCAAACTCGATGGAAGAGATTGTATGTCCAGCATCACACTGCAAGTGCAATTCAGGTATCAAGGTATTCGGTGAAATTTTTCCACTGGTATTATTTGGACTGGACCAAGCATTTAGAGGTGGATAATAGTTCTCCGATATGTTAGCACAAATAGTTTCTGAGAAACCCGACTTGATGGATATCTCAAATGGGGTCTTCTCCGTCTCCTCAAAGATGACAAGCAAATTGTCTGTAGCCTTTAACCATGATCTTGGTATGTGGTACCTGGATATAAACTCAGATTTAAAACCATCAATAAGTAGCAAGAATATTGTAAATTCAAAATGGAATTAGAAGTACTATGGAAAACAACCTTGTTCTGTTCATGCTTCTTAGTAAAGCTAGAAAACATTAAAATCGGACAAACTATGTAAGTTTTTGGTGTCAAAAGAGTACCAGGATTGAGTGGGTTTCCCACAGTTTGTTGTACATTTGTCAGAATCATAAGATCCCCGATAGTCACAAGGTTTACATCCATCTTTTGGGGCAATCAAAGTCCAATATCTTCCAATGTGGTGGCCATTGACCCAAGCTTGACCCTTTCCCATACTTCTAAAATCAAGGACAACGGGATCTACCCCACCAGGGGCATCAAAATGCGTCTACTCAATAAAATGGGAAACAGATTAATAGAAGAAAGGTGAGAGAATCTTAACAGAAACAGACATCATTAAAAACATGAAAATGCAGAATGGTGATAGTGATTGCTCCTAGAAATTGTATCCTCCAACCACTGAGAACCAAAGAATGGAATGTATGATAGTGAAGACATCAGGCTGCCTTCCCTTTGCCAACACCCACCAAAAAAATAAATCCCAGGGAGAAAAGGAAATGGAAACAAGAACTTGTGAACATGGAAGTTGAGTAAGCAATGTACACCACGAAGAAGAAACACGATAATCTTCCTGAAGAAAAAATTAACCTAACTCCTGGCATTGGAAGGTCAAAACAATGTGTTTTTCACTTCCTCTCTCTTTTTCCATTACTTTCTAGATATGGAAATGTGAGAGCTACAAGGATTCCCAGTTTTTTTCTTTTATTCAAGATATTTAGTGCAGCCATTATTCAGTAGTAATAAATGAGAGCTAAAACATAGTAATTGAATATTTACTGTCCGTTTAGAAACTGATTTTTATATCTCGAAAGAGGAAACCAAAAGCTATGTTTAGAACTCACGAAAACTCGACCTACCAATTATTTGCCAGTTACCTGCAACCCTAGTGACAACCTGCTATAAATACAAACCTACCAACTATTTGCAAATCTACAAACAACCTACTATACAAACCTACCAACAAGGATTGACTAATAAATAGGGAATAAACGTTTCCCTTCATGCTGGAGCAAAAATATCAATCATGCCACAAAACAGGTTGAGATTACACTATCAGCTGCAAGAGAATCAATGGAAATCAATGAAGTATACGATCTTTTTGGGAATTTTCTGTGATGTATATATTCAAATGAACTGTAGGCAACATAAAGGCATAAAAAAACGATATTCAGCATTGAGGCTGATTCACCACTCCTCAACTAATCATTCTGTGTCCTTACCCCCCTGTAACTAATTTCAACAAAATGACTAACAACTCTTAACAAATTGAGTGACCCATCATAATTCTAGAAACTACTAACGTCCTGCTGTCATATGGATGGCTCCCCTATGTGCCTACTTGACTCTTGCGCCGGTTGTACGTGAATTTAATTGGAGGGCTCATCAGAACCCCTTCATACATACATATATATATATATATTTTTAAAATGACCTAGGGTACATTTCGCACTATATTATGGGAAACCTTTCGAAGGAAATAAAGTATCAAATTCCACTTCTTGCTTATATAATATTATTTTATTTCATTATTTACTCTCTCAATTTAGCATTTGAAGTCACACGATACCATTATAAACTGAGCAATTCCATTAAAATAGTAACACGAAGACAGGAACGACAGTATATGCATCAATTGCTTCAGCAATTTGACTACTTAGCCATTCTGCAATGGATGCTTCCCCACCACACACTTGAGAGAATGAATAACTAGGCACCCTCAAATTCTGCTAGCTATAATTATAAATGCTGATTACATTAAGAACATAATATATTGATGTGTCCCCATCTGACGTCGAACAATTTCATTTCATGCCCTTTTCTGTAACAAGTGATCAATTTCCCCAAAAAAAAAAAAAGGAAACGCAAAATCGTTTCAAATAATGTTCTCAAAAAGTTACCTTGTACCAGGAAAAGTTGGATGGAATTGCATCACGTGGAAATTCTGTCCACCCTGCGCTTATATTGTCATCAGTGGAAAATATTTTCAGAAACTCTCCCTTAAGCCCTACCTATAATCACATTGTGGAAATTTGGTAGTCAATTTTGTTTCATTAGCATCAAGAAATTTGAGAAAAGGTAAAATGAGAAAAAAAATTGGATTAAAATGTGAAAGGTGAACTTCATGTTACCCAGAGTTCTCTTATCTACAGTAATTAGAGCATCCAATTTCTTCAATTGTTTATTAAAATCAATACTATATTATTTCGCCCGCTATTATCCATTAGTGATGGAATATTATATGATGGGCCACAAAGGAAGTTTTTACAAAATTATTCATGTGCTCTGTTCACCTATGTCAACAAAAAGTTCAACAAACAAATTGTTCTACCAGCTTACTTCAAAGATCAAAGTGCCTTCTGAAAATAAACCTGAAGGAATTTGTTATAAATATTTGAATCCATGGAAAAATATGTTAGAAGTGCATAGTCATAGAAGCGAGGATAAATTTACGCTGAACTTCTAGTGAAGAAAAATGTGGAGGCGAGGACAGGTGATACCACCACCATTTCCAAAGAACAGCTTCAAAAGTGCCTTTAACCTTATTCCGTTCTTCAAATTAAATTCAAGCATACCACTCTAGTACAACCAGCTTTGAACTTCTGATTTATTCATAGGTTTACTTGGTTTTTCACGCTCAGAAAGCAAATTCAGAAACCATGTGACAACTTGATTACATTGATCCTCAAGAGTAAACTAGACTTCTTGAACCTTTGTGAATCATATCTCGATTATAAATAAAATAATTTATACTTAATTTTTTCATGATTCATGTCTAAGTACCTCTAGAGTGCCCTTTAAATTTTTTTTAGAATATGATTTATTATTTGTAAAATTGCATTAATACAAGATTCATATCACATTAAATTTACCTCATAGGGCATTACATGCACAACTACCACCTCATACTTAATATAGGCTAAGCATTGGTTTACTGAGGTTCTCTACAATTTAAAATCTTATGCTGGTTGGAGCTGTTTTTGGTGAAACATTGCCGATAAAAATGAAATTTGCCATTTAATTAAAAACTAATGAGTGAATGTGAGAGTAATAAGTTGTATCAAGGAAAGATCCATAACGTTAGGAAAGTCGTAGAATCAACCAAACATGGTGAATGAAATCTCCAAGTAACACAAGTACCTGATAGGTCCACATAAACTCCGTGAGATCAATATCTCCACTTTTACACCCTGTAAGCTTGATTTGACCCCTAAACCCTGCCCCATC